TCGAGCAGCAGCAGACACGCGAGCCTCCACCTACCAACACAAACCCTAAACCCTAAACCCTAAACCCTAAGAGACGACCACATTCGCCTCTTAACCCTTGCGCGCAGGGAGCAGACTACATCGAGGCCCCCAAGCCTCGCCCCCAAACCCTAAACCCCAAACCCCAAACCCTAAACCCTAAACCCTAAACCCTAAACCCTAAACCCTAAACCCTCACCTGCTGCTCGATGCCCAGCGTGGTGGCAACTTTCTTGAAAAGCTGCTGCAGCTCAGCAGCAAATTGTTCACTTGTGGAAATGTCAAAAGTTAAATCCGAATACATTGCAGCAATTCGCGGCAGTGCGCAGAAAAGGGTTTGGCCCTGCAGCTCTATGTGGCCTGCGCAAACCCTAAACCCTAAACCCTAAACCCTAAACCCTAAGCCCTAAACCCTTGCTAAAAAAGGCCGTCGGCAGCATCTACAGTGTCCGATACAGCCGCGTAACCTCTGAGTCCCCAAACCCTAGACCCCAAACCCTAAAGCCCAAACCCTACAGCCCAAACCCTACAGCCCAAACCCTAAACCCTCGCGGACCTTCTTGGAAAAGGAAGTCAGCAGCATCTAAAATGTCGAAGTTTGCTTTTTCTGAAAGTGCTGCTGCTGTTAAAAGCTGCGCGAGGGCTTCAGCAGGAAAAGGAGATAATTGAACTGCAGCAGCAAAAAACTTTTCTTCTTTTTTTGTAAATCGATGCGAGGGTTTAGGGTTCAGGGTTTCCGGAGTCTCCAAGATGCTCTCCAGCTCGCCCGACTGCGCGCAAAACAACAGACTAGGGTTTAGGGTTTAGGGTTTGCGGCGCACGGCGTAGGGTCTAGGGTTTTGTCTCTTTCAGTGTCTTCTGCTGGCAGTTGGCGTTTTGCCATTTGTTTGTCTGCTAATTAATTAATTAATTAATTAATTATATAAATTAATTAGTTTAATTAATCAGGTAATTAATTAATCAATGAGTTTATTAACTAATTAATTAATTAATGAGTTTAATAAATTAATAAATTAATTAATTAATTCATTCATTCATTGAGTAGTTGGCTAATTAATCGCTTAAATTCACTTAGTCTTTTAAATTATTTAATCCATCCATTTAATTAAATTCATTTAGTCAGTTAATTAGCGCTAATTAAATGGATCAAACAAATCAAATTAATTAAATAAATTAAATTAATTAAATCAATTTAAATATACAAAATTGAATTTTGGTTTTTGGGGAGGGTTTGCTGAGGTGTATGTACAGCTGCTGACCTCGGCGCCGCTGACTTCTCGAGATTTTCTCTTTTTCATTTTTTCTTTTTTTTGTTTTTTTCTGTAAACCCTAAACACTTTTTGAGCTTCGTAAACCACAAACCCTAATAAGATCAACTTGCCAGTGGAAAAGAACAGCACCACCATCACCTCCATCACCAGCTGACACGCAAACCCTCAACCTTAAACCCTAAACCCTAAACCCTAGCCAAAACCCGAGACATGAACAGCCCTGACCCTCGCCCTAAACTCTAACCCTAACCCCAACCCCAAAGCCTAATCCCAACCCCAAACCCTAAACCCTAAGCCCTAAACCCTAGTGGTTCCGCTGGTAAGAAGAGTGAAGAAATGGAGTTGCACCCTCCCCCAGCCCCTATCCACTACGCCCCACCCCAAACCCTAAACCCTAAACCCTAAACCCTAAACCCTCGCGCACCGCAGTGGTTCCGCTGGTAAGAATAGTGAAGAAATGGAATTGCATGGCGACGACTAAAAAGAGACAAAGAGAAACTTCTCGAGCGTAAAGAGATTTGGGGATTTTTAAGAAAGTGTGGGGCCCCACTTGTTGTTTGAAAAGAATCCTGCAGCACAAAAAAGGGTTTTAAAAGGGTTTAGAAACCCTTTAAAAGGGTTTTCGTGGAGGGCCAGACGGGGGAGAGCCGAGGGTTTAGGGTTTAGGGTTTGGAGCTACCGGTGCGCGCTCGGTCAACGCGAAAACCTCACAAGAAGAACGATAATGCAACTCTTGCAAACCCTAAACCCTAAACCCTAAACCCTAAACCCTGAGCCAGTGCGAAACTGCGCGCCTAAGAAGCGCCGAACAAGCAAAAGGGTCTGGGGCCCCACTGCGGTTTCCCCCCTAGCGCCCCGACGCACAAAGTCTAGGGTTTAGGGTTTAGGGTTTAGGGTTTAGGGTTTAGGGTTTAGGGTTTGTGAACCAGGGTTCGACGAGCTCGGTGCCGTAGGGTTTGAGAAAAAGGACCAAAACGCTGTAGCCGGAAATGAGGGCGAGGCAAACAGCAAGGGGGGAGACTTGCTGCAGCAGCAGCGCAGCAGCAATGCATGCAGCAGCAGCAGCAAAACGCAAACCCTCCCAACCCTTTCTGTGGGGTCCATAAAAGTCAAACCAAAACCCTAGACACCCCACAACGCGGGGTGTATCGACAGCTGGCGCAAACATCACCAACAACCAGCAACTCAGCGGAAAACAAAACCCAAACAGCAGCAAACCTGCGCGCAACGCAAACCCTAAACCCTAAACCCTAAACCCTAAACCCTAAACCGTGACCCTGAGCCCTCAGCGAGACACTCAAACGGAGAGGCTCAATGCGACGCAGCTACAATAATACAAAATCCCAAACCCTAAATCCCAAACCCTTATCCATGCATCCTAAACCCTAAAACCCTAAACCCTAAACCATAAACCCTAAACCCCAAACCCTAAGCTTTATACCTGACATCCTTTACCCTAAACTCTTCTCGCTCTCCCCCTCCCCTTCTCCGACCCCCAAACCCTCCCCACCTCCCCTAAACCCTAAACCCTAAACCCTAAACCGTCGCACCGGGCATGGCTAGCTGAGCTCCAAGGGACATTGTGGGGCCCCCGCAGGGGACTGTGGGGTCATAAGCCAAATAAGAAACCCCATTTGCCAAAACCCTGAAATCAAAAGCCCTCAACAAACCCTAATTAAACCCTCAACAAACCCTAATTAAACCCTATTCAAACCCTAATTAAACCCTCAACAAACCCTAATTAAACCCTAATTAAACCCTACTTAAAACCTGTTTAAACCCTATTTAAACCCTATTTAAACCCTCAGCAAACCCTTGTCAAACCCTCGTCAAACCCGAATTAAACCCTCGTCAAACCCTCGTCAAGCACTAATCAAACCCTCGCCAACTAGACCCTTGTCAATCCCTAATCAAACCCTCACCAAGCCCTGATTAAACCCTCGTCAAACCCTAATTAAACCCTTATTAAACCCTTATTAAACGCCACTCAAACCCTAATTGAATAAGGAGTTACTGGAAATAAAAACAAATTTTAATTTGAATTGAGAAGAGACACAAAAGAGTATAAAGAGAAAAATAAATATTATTAAAATTGCGAATTTACTTTTTTATTTAAATATAATTTTAAAAATCGAAAAAAGCAAAAGAAGAAATTAGGAAATTGGATTTAAATGAAATAAGGATTTATCTAATTTAGAAAATAAAATCAAAAAATAAAATTAAAACGGAAAAACTAATTCAAGAAAAGAAAATGAAATTAAGATTAAATTCGTCTGAAATGAATTAAAATAAGCTGCAATAAAGTGAAACGAAATAAAATTAATTAGAATCAATTAAAGTCAATTGAAATTAATTCAAAAGAATTACATTGAAAAGAAATAAAAAGAAATAAAATGGAATTAAAAGAAATAAAATGAAATAAAAGAAATAAAAGGAAATGAAAAAAAACAAAATGAAATAAATTAAATCAAAATCAAATAAAACGAATTAAAGTGAATAAAGCGAATATAAAACCAGAATAAAACCAAATGCATAAAACTGCAAATTAACTCAAAACAAAACAAACCAGACTTAAACAAACAAACCCACCCAAACCAATTCAAATCAAATCCAACAAAATAAAATAAGAACTAAAATATATTTCCAATTATACTTCTAATCACTCACTTGCATGCAAGAGCAGCACTAAAAAAAGCAGCAGCAGAAGGGCCCCAAATAAAAATTGTAAAAAGAGAAAAACGAGAAAATGAAATTGTGCTTTTGAGTCCCGCGGTGTCTCTACACCTCTCTGGCTGCAGCAGGGGCCCCAGGGGGCCCCCCCGGGGGCCCCCCAGGGGGCCCCCCAGGGGGCCCCCGTGGCGCCGCTGCCAGTGGAATTTGAAAGAAAAGAAAAGGAAAGAAAGAATTAAAAGACTAAGTGGTAAAAAGAAACATAAAAGAGCATCTGAATAGACAGGACTTGAAGACCCAGAGCCCCAACAGTCCGGGGATAGCTCCTGCAGCAGCAGCAGCAGCAGCAGCAACAGCAACAGCAGCAGAAGCAGCAGCAGCAGCAGCAGTAGGTGTTTTGGAGGGCGGAGGAGTTTGCTGCTGGTGATCTCGTGCTGTCTTCGGAGGAATTCAAAGGCTAAGAAAGAGGCGCGTGGTAAAGTGCTGCTGCTGCTGCTGCTGCTGCTGGTGTTGCTGCTTGTTTTATTTGACTATTGCTGCCGCTGCTGTTGCTGCTGCTGCTGTTGCTGCTGCATCTAACACAACACTCCCCACCTCTACTGCCCTCCCTGCCACCTCTTCTACCATCGCTGCTTCGGCTGCCGCTGCTGCTGCTGCCGCTGCTTCTGCTGCTGCTGCTGCTGCTTACGGAAACAAAAAAAGAGACAATTTTTCTTGAAAAGTTTCTGTAGCGGAGGTACCAGTCTGAAGGAACATGAAAGATTTCCACTTTGCTGCTGCTGCTGTTTATTTTGCCTTCTAAAAGGGGGCCCCCGGGCCCCACAGCCCGGCTAGACAGCCTGCAAACAAACCCTAAACCCTAAACCCTAAACCCTAAACCCTAAACCCCAAACCCTAGCTTTCGGCCAACAAGCGTCGGAGCCAACACCGGATGGGTGGCAATGTGATTAACGTCCTAAACCCTAAACCCTAAACCATAAACCCTAAACCCTTCGTACTGCCAGCTGCGAAGAAGCTGAATCTATACGCACGTACTCAAATTAGGGTTTAGGGTTTAGGGTTTAGGTTTAAGAGTCTAGGGTTTGGGTTCCTACCCATAGGAGCTCCAGAAAGCCAGATACGCCAAAAGCTGTTTCAGGGCTGGAGTAAAACGAATGCGCTGCCCCACACAAACCCTAAACTCCAAATGCTAAACCCTAAACCCTAAACCCTAAACCCTAAACCCTTAAGGATGAGGCCCATATCGTGAGGGCCTAAACATGCAGTTTCACTTGGGACGCAATATCAAGCCCCAGCCCCAAACCCGAAACCCGAAACCCTAAACCCTAAACCCTAAACCCTCAGCACTAAACCCCAAACCCCAAACCCTAAACCCTAAACCCTAAACCCCACATCTGTGACGACGCGAAGCCGCTGCTCGGCCTCGAAGTCGAGGGCCATGCTGACGAGATAAACAACAATGATAAAACCTGCAAACAGACTCCAAACCCTAAACCCTAAACCCTGAACCCTAAACCCTAAAACCTAGCGCACTGCACCCGTAAAGAGTCAGGTCTAGGGTTTAGGGTTTACGGCTGCGCGCATTCAAAACCTAAAGCCGTAAACCCTTAAAAATCGTCCCCAAACCTTAAAACCCCAAACCCTAAACCCTAAACCCTAAACCCTAAATCCTAAAGCTTTAATTCTAAACCCAGAGTACCGAAACCTGACCCGCTACACTCTCAGCCCCGAAGCCAAAACCCTAAACCCTAAACCCTAAATCCAAAAGTCCAAACCCCAAACCCCAAGCCCCAAACCCTGAGCCCCAAACCCTAAACCGCTAAACCCCAAACTCCAAACCCTAAACCCTAAGCTCTAAACCCAAAAGCCCAAACCCCAAGCCCTAAACCCCAAACCCCAAACCCCAAACCCTAAACCCTAAACCCTCACCGAGAAAGAGCCCAATGGCCTTGAGGGCTATTTGCCAACCCGCGGGGCACTTTCTGCATTCGCTGCTAAGAGACAAAAGGTCCCTCGTGAAACCCTCAGAACACATTTGACACAACGGGCCTGCAACAAACCCTAAACCCTAAACCCTAAACCCTAAACCCTAAACCCTAAACCCTCCTCCCCAAGCCCCGAACCCCCTACCCGAACCCGTAAACCCTAAACCTCAGCGCCCCTCGCCCGCCACCCCCTAACCCCCAAACCCCAAAAACCCTAAACCGTAAACCCCAGTAAAGCCTAAACCCTAAACCCTAGTGAACCCTAAATCCTCGCAAACCCTAAACCCTCGTAAACCCTAAACCCTAAACCCTAAACCCTACCTTCGTGCCCCTGCATGCACTCTCCGCAGGGCCCCGTGCATGCAGTCAAATGTGCGCAGCGTTCATACACTGCAGGCCACGAGGCCCCCACAGCCCTCCACCAGCCTTTACTCAAATTCGTAAAAGTCTGAATTCAATTATAAACCATTTTGAATCAATTAATTAATTAATTAATTAGTTAGTTAGTTAGTCAGTTAGTTAATTAATTAATTAATTAATTAATTAATTAATTAATTAATTAATTAATTAATTAGTTAATTAGATAAACTAAATAAATAAATAAATAAACAAATAAATAAATAAATAAATAAATAAATAAATAGTTAATTAATTGACGGATTAACTATTAAGATTCGAATAATTAGTTAAATTAGCTAATTAATTAGATTACTTGGATTAATTAGATTAATTAGATTAATCAATTAATTAATTATTCTGTTATTTATTTATCTGTTTATTTGTTTATTCATTTATTTATTTATTTATTTATTTAAAATTTGCTTCACCTTGCACTTCTCCGCTTCATTATACTGCGTAAGTCCTCCAGGGCAAAAATAAATTGTTGCGGGAGAGGGACAAATGGAACAAAGAAAGTATCCTTCGTTTAAATACATCACTGCAGCAGCAGCAGCAGCAGCAGCAGCAGCGGCAGTGCAGCAGCAGCAGCAGCAGTGCAGCAGCAGAAGCAGCAGTGCAGCAGCAGCGGTGGAGACAGAATCAAGTCAGAATCAGAATGCTGTGAAGAGCAAGTAATGAGGCTTGATTAGGGTTTAGGCATTAGGGTTTAGGGTTTAGGGTTTAGGGTCTAGGTTTTAGGGTTTAGGGTTTACTTTCTGTGCAGCTGCAGCTGCCGACTGTGGAGGCCCCCGTGATCCCCAAAGTGGAGGCCCCAGTGGGGCACTGAAGAAAAGCAAAAATAAATAAATAAATGAATAAATAAATAAATAAATAAATAAATAAAATAAATATATAGTAAGCCAATAAATTAGTTAATTAACTAATTAAAATAAATAAATAATTAAAGCATTAAATGGTAAAATAAGTAAATCAAATTATTAAATAATTAAGTTAAAAGCAGCGGAAAAACAAAAAAACAAAAAAGATTGAAAAAGAGATAAAGGGAGACACAAAAGAAATGAAACAAATTAAATAAAAATAAAAATAAGAAACAGATAAAAAACAAAATAAAAAACAAAATAAAAAGAAATAAAAAAAAGGGGGCAAAGCAAATTGAAAAAACAAAAAAGAATTAAAAAAACAAAAAAAACGAAAAAATAAAAAGACACAAAACGGCGGAAAGGAAATTTAAAAATATTAAAACAAAAATTTGTTTACTCATTTATATTTCTCTCACTTATTCTTATTTATTTATTTATTTGTTATTTATTTTTTTATTATCTATTTATTGTTTATTATTCATTTATTTATTTATTTATTTATTACTTATTTATTTATTTATTTTTATTTAATAAATAAAATCCTCCCGCAAGCAAACAGACCCTCCGCACAAAACCCCTCAAAAGAAAAAAAAAAACAAAAAAATCAAATAATAAATATAATTAAATAACCAATTAATTAAATTGAATTAAACCAAATTAATTAACTTAAATTAATTAAATTAAATTAATTAATTAAATTAAATTGAATTAATTAATCAATCAATTCTTACTCCCACACACTGAGTCATTCCCTCTGATGGCCCAAAAGTGTCTTCGGGGCATTTAACGCATGCAGCCCCATCGAAGAAAGACCCAGCAGCACAAACTTGATTTGCTGCTGCTGCTGCTGCTGGCAGCAGCGGCAGCAGCAGCAGCAGCAGCAGCAGCGGCTGCAGCAGACGCAGCAGCAGAGCCCGCGCAGGCGGTCGCACGCAGTGGCTTCTAAGCCCCTGCAGCAGAAACTGCTGCTGCTGCTGCTGCTGCTGCGGCTGCATATTCTGCTGCTGCTGCTGTTGCTCCATTTTCTCCTGTCGCTGCTTCTTTTGCTGCTGCTGCTGCTGCTTATATGTAGCATCAGCATTAGCGGCTGCTGCTTCAACTTGGGTCTTTGAGGTGTATGTACACCCCACCAAGTTCCCTGCTGCTGCTCTGATTCTTTCTAGACCCCAAAACTGCTGCATTGGAGCTGCTGCTGCTGCTGCTGTTGTTGCTGCTGCTGCCGCTGTTGCTGCTGCTGTTGTTGTTGCTGCTGCTGCTGCTTTTTGCCGCAGTTCCTGCAGCTGCTGCTTTCTGCTGCCGCTACGAACTGCTGCTGCTGCTGCTCGCAGC